GTAGAGATCTACGAGCGAGGAGGTCGGTCTATAGTATATATATATATATATATATATATATATCGAAGGAGGGAGTGTTATGTATCGGGAGTCTCCCTTGGACCCTTATACGGTTAAGCTGTAAGGGATGCTGTGAAAAAAAGGGAGCGAAGCCTTCAACCACTTTGAGGCGCGAGAGATTTTAGTTCCCCCTCGAGGCAGCGGAGAAACACATCGAGAAGGGAAAATAGGGAAGGCCGTATCCTTTTTCCTCTGTCTTCCTCCCTCGCTCTTCCGCCACTCGAGCTTCTCTCCCTCTCTCTCGAAGCACTCTAGGATCGTCCCAAGCGTCTGCCAGCTAGCCATCCAGCCAAGCCAGCCAGTCAGTCAGGGGTGAGAATTTCATTAAGAGGTTCGAATGAGTCGGCAGAGGGTTTACTTGATGGGTCGTCAAGCGATAATTCCCAAGCTAGAAGGGGAGGCCCCGACTGCTTCTCCCCGTGAAACAGAAATGGACGGATAGACGGGTGGAACGATGGGCCGGAGAGAGATGGAGAGATATCACCGGAGAAACAGAGGAGGAGTTTTAGGGTGCCGGCGGCCTTCCCTTATAAAGGGAACCTTATGGGCCAACTAAATAGATACCACCGTCGAGTCCACAAGTGGCTCTTTAACTTTTGACCCCCTTTTATCAGACGTTAATCTCATAATCTTCGTTGGGTTGAATCTATTCGATGATTTCTCGTGTTCGCCACGATACAATATTTACTTTAGCCAAACTCCCGGTAGGAATGATTATACAATGATCACGATTGCTAGAAATTTTAGCTTCGTTTTCGTAGTTTGAAAACCAGTAATGCATCAAATTTTTTTAAATATCTGGGATGATGGGATCGTAAAATTAACTATTAATGTAACATTAATTTGTAGACAAAAATTTCATATACATATACGAGCTTATAACGAATAAATATTTCAAAAGATGACAAGCTTTGATATTTTCCCGACGACGATAAAGATAGCCTGTTGCTGTTGACATTCTCAAAAAAAAAAAAAAAAANAAAAAAAAAAAATACAAGTGGACCACTCGTGGAGAGAATCTTACAACAGGCCAGGCTCGTAAGCAGCTCTCGTGCTCTCGAGTGACCTCTTCCCTCCGACGTTTGGCATGGAAATTCATGAGGGCTCTCTCTTGAATTTAGCAAACTTCCTGGCAAACCTTGCGGTTGTCTCGTTCGGCCCGGTCGGTATACACGCCATAACCTCAACCGTATTCAAGGCCCAGCAATACGGAGAGAGACCGCTTTCAACATTCATAGGCGTGGAACGATCCATAACACGCACGACCGAATATATACACACGCGCGTCTCCTTCGATGCCAATATCCCTCGAAACGAGTCGGGATATATTCATACGCGATCACAAATCACCACGGGCCCGGAGAGCGGTCTGGAAATAGAAAACAAATCGCTTTCGTACGGGGCATCGTTCCTTCTCGCCGGATATATTCGGGTGGGCTTATTTCCCGGTGGCGTGGTCCTTTAAAATTACGATGCATCACGCGCGTGACAACGCAACACCTAAATGTCCCGGAATCGAACCGAGAGACGTGGCGAGCGAGACAGAGGGGGAACAGAATGCGAGAAAGAGAGAGAGAGAATGCGAGAAAGGGCGGTGGACAAGGCAGAGAGGAAGAGAAGGACAGGGAGGAACAGAGAGGGCCGATATTGGCCAATGTGCGGTGGGGTAATGGTGGCCATACGAGGGTCCGTACCATTCGTCTCGCCGCGGGCGCCGATACATCACCGTGCCTCAAACCACCATTCCGCCATGTATCTATATACATCCACTGTATGTGTATATATATATATATATATATATATATAAATATATACACCGAGCTGTACGGAGTGTATATGGTCCTACTACGGATGGCTACTCAACCCGGGCGCACCCTCCGCCTCTCACAGAGGCACGCTTAGGGAGTCGAAGCACAAGCGCGCGCACCAGATCACCTATATACGCGAGTGTACCACCACCACACGCACGAGACTCGGTATACGCACGCCGCCACTATGCGCGGTGAAAGCGTGAGCGCGCGTATACCAACACGACGACGACGACGGCGACGAACCGAGCGGTCCACCAGGGGACCAAACCGAAGGCCATTAATCTCTTTGCGCGGCAACCCGCAACCCGTCACTGTGTTTACCCACATGTGAACCATTATGTCCGCCTCCGCGATATAGAGGCCGACACACGGCCGGTTTCGCAGCGAATTTCTAACTCGCCGTTTCCGCCCGTTGGGCAAAATGCCTGAATAAGTATAGCGGCCTATCGAGATGGCCGAGAAACGACACTAGATGGCGCGCGACACGAAAACGACTGGACGTCTCGCTCGTCGACCGATTTCAGCGCCACTCAGAGACTCGAGTTTGGGTAATTGAATTTACAGCCTATGTGTGCATGGGACACACGTTGTATGGCGACTTTGAAATTTGCGGCAACAGGAACGATCCGCTTCTTACGTAGCACGATTATTGGAAACGTGGTTGGAGTTAAAAGGAATTTAAAAAACGAATCATCGAACATGGAAAAGTTGAAGGTGTTTTAAAAGTTTAGAGATATTTTCGATTAAGAAAAAATAATAAAGAGATTGTCATGAATTTTTTCGCGAATTTAGAAACATTTTTGAATAAACAAAAAAATAAATGAGATTGTAATATTACATGCCAAATAGAATATTACTATATATTGAAAAATCATCGTGGCGTCGCAATGCTTGTTAACTCTTGTGTCACGAAATGAAATATCCAATAGTAATTTTATCTCTCAAAGTATCCGTTACGAAAAAAGCAAGATTTTCAAGATTTTATTCCAACACTTAACTTAACTTTTAGGTTAAGCGATTGTCCGATAGCAATTTTCAAATTTTCAAAAAATGTTTACATTTATATTCTTATTTATTATGTATTAGTAATCTAAAAGAAATTATCTTTTTCCAATAAAAAAAAAAAAATAACCAAATGTACTCGCAGCCCTGAAACGATACATCGCGAAAAACTCGTATACCTCTGGAATCCAATAGAGTAGAGTGGTATTTATCGTAAATCGTAGCGGTACTCGAAAGGATCACAGAAGCTCCCCGCCGCTTTTGTCCCTAGTAACGTTCCACGTTCCTCGAGGATCTCGTGGCCGATCTCCGTGAATGGTGGCCGATCCATGCAGGGTGAGGTCGCGTACGGTTATTGTGCGCGCGGAATGGATGCTTGCGCAATATCAGAAACGCGGCGACCGATGGCCACTCGATATCGGGGAAACTAGTCACGCGAGCTATACACGCTACCGACATTCCTCGAAGAGATCGGTATATACGTTCCGCGGGCTAGGTTCACCCTCGACTCGTCGCTATTGTGTATATACGTGCACTATACATCGTTGTGAACATCGATAATTGGCCCCTAATGGCGGTGCTTCTTCCGAGATTCGAGACACAGGTTGTTCTTCGAACATTCCTCGCCTCGAATGCATGCACGACTGCATGGATTATTTTGCGTTTCGTGCTGTTACACGCGTGCAAAGCTTATCGACTAAACTTGCCGGCGTATAGCCACGGTGAAACGAGGTTTCGACCCTGGCTTTTTCGCCCGGTATTTTTTGTCTTCTCTGGCCGCCGTTCGAAATATTAGCGTCCACTCGTTTATAAGCTCACCACTCGAGACTGACCGCGAGAACGCGTAACTATTGGAGAAACGAAATTCGACCCTTTTTTTGTTCCCAGGTAATAACGAAGAAGGACAGTAAGAACGAAAGACGAAGAACGATTGAGAGGTTATACGATTGCTTCGATGAGTAAAAGTAAGTCACTTTACTTAAGTTACTTAAAGAAGCATACAACGAATAATTATTTGTTAAATGGAAAAATAAGAACAGTCTTGATCTCTACTACATTTTTCTGTTTTATCGTTTGTTTCTATCTTGCGACATCTTTCAAAGATTCGACGATAATTATATATCAGGCGTGACGGTTAAAATTACAAAAAAAAAAAAAAAGTACACTCACCATTTTCCTCGAGGCCTCTCCTCGCCTCCTCCCCGACCCTGTCGCCTTGATTGTCACCCGCGAGATCATCCTTCTCCTTGTTGTCCTCCGAGTCCGTGAGAACCGCGTCATCGTCATCGTCGGTCTTGTTTTTCGGCTCCCAGGTCATTTTGTTCTCTTTTTTCAGACGCCGTCGCGCGTTCGCGAACCAAGTGGATACCTGCGTCAGTGTCATCTTCGTGATGATCGCAAGCATGATCTTCTCGCCCTTGGTCGGGTAAGGATTCTTCTTGTGCTCGTTCAGCCATGCCTTCAACGTGGCCGTCGACTCCCTCGTCGCGTTCTTCCGCCGCGCTGCCAAATCGTATCCGGCGCCATATCTGAAAAGATCGTATCGATTCGTAAATCGACTTGCTCTCGATGCAATTGTGACGCAAAACGGGAAACTATTCACTCGTAAAGGGACAAATGTGATTCTATAAATATATGCTTCAGAACGTAAGTAAAGTTTCATTGGAAAAATATTCGTTCGAACGGTAAAACTGAAAATATGCTGCTCAACGAATGTTTAAATCGTCGCAGATGTCGCTCCTATACTGAACAACCAAATGCCACGTAACGTTCGTTTTTTCACGTTCGTGCGTCTTCGGCTTAAGTCGTGTTTTTTCGTGCACAATGTCTCCTCTTCGCTCGATCGTGTTCACGCATCAGTAGCGCGAATCTGAACGAACTAAATCTAAACTTCCGACCGTATATTCCGATTTTAAAATACATTTCTTGCTCCCAAAAACGCATCTTCCTTATTACATTGATCACGAAAACGGCAAATTCAACGATCGAAATTAATAATTCGCCTTCGAAACGACTCGAAAACGCGTCTCGCGTCTTTTCCCAAACCCAAGACTGGCACCATCACGACGGCCTATTCTCGAACGGTATAAAAACGTAACCATTGTTCAACATTTGTCGAGTCGAGCCACTTCGCTCGAAAAGTGGCATCCTATCGAGGGTGCGAATTCCCCGTAGATTTTCCCCAAGATCCAAAGTGCCAGCCGCTTGGATAGAGTGAAACAGGTATTGTCGGTATTAGCGAAAGAAGGAGGGAGAGAGAAAGAGAGAGAGACAAGAGACACGGTGAGACAGAGACGGACGAAAGTCGGCGTTCCTAGATTCGTTCCCCTGGCCGCGGGCTGGGCGGCCGCGCCGAAGCATCGAACCCTCCCCACACAGCGACATCCTACTGGGTCGAGGGTGATACTCCGGCAAATATATACGGAGAATAAACCCCCAGCGGCGGCGTGATTCCATCGAGCAACCCCGCCACTCACTCGCTGTAATGGCGATTCGATCGATCTCCCTTTCTCTCTCTCTCTCCCTCTCGCTGCGTGTCCTCTCCCACTGGGGGAGCTCTGCTCCCACGCGAGCCTGTTATAGGTATGTACTATTATATACTGTAGCCTAAAATACCTATCGACGATCCATCGGAAGGGTGGCTTGGCTGGCTGGCTGGCTGATGGTGGTGCGGTTACCAACGACGAAGCGTGACGCGGCTTGACGGGGTATCGAGAATCGGATTCGGCAAGGACGCGCGAGAATAGGAGGACGATTAATGGAAATCCTTGCGCGATTGCCGACGCTATGGGTGTTGATCTTGTCGGAAGGAAGGATTGATGGTGGTGAATGATATTTGCTACTGCATTGTTCTTAGGGCAAAATATTACGAATCTAAAATTTGACACTTATAAATAAAATTCAAGTTTTCTCTCGATTTTATAACGGTCGTTAATTTCCTTCGAAAGAATCGAAAATTCGTGGTTTCGTTTCACTTAAATATAAATATTTCGTTTTGACGAAATCTTTCCAAACATCTTCCTCCACTTTATCGAGCTAGTCGTAAATTGATCGAAGCACACACCGGGAATGATAATTTCGAGCCTCGCGAGGAAAAATAAAACAAGAGATAGAGGCGGAAGGACGGATATGTTTCGAAAATTTTACGGCCCCTGAACACACACACGCACAGAGGTTTTCGAAATGGAATCTATCGCCGTTTTACGTTCTCGCAGGACGAGATCATCAAAAAAGATCCTTTCTTACGCGGGAAGAGTTTATTCAAATGGAGACGTTTCCCGCCGACTAAAATCGCGTTTTACGATCGCGCGGCTATCCGACCGATTCTGTTCTGACGGTGCGCGACAAATGGCCCGATGAAATCTTCTGTCCAGCCTTACTACAAGTTTAGACGTGATCTAATCTCGGGGCTTTCGCCGCTGGAACACGAGCCTCCCTAAAATATTGGCCGCTTAGGCGTGTCGCCTAACGATATCCACCGAGATCACATTGTTCCCTGTGAAAACTTTCCATCCATTGTTCCATCCATTCCTTTTGCCAATGTAAATAAATTCTAATCCACAAATGAAAATTAATTATCTTTGCGTACCAATTGGAAAAACTCTAATCTATCCTCGCTTATTGAAATTACACGATGTGATGAAATTAATTATTCGTAAAGAAGCAATTATTTGGAGAATTTCTATTTGGAGAATCGCTTTTCATATTCAATCATAGAATATAAAAAGCTAGAAAAATTAAAAACTTAATTATTCTTATTTTATTATATTACATTTTCTTTTTCCCTCTAATTGGACAACAACAAAGGTAGAATTGAAAAATCTAGATGATTTATTCTGTTCGCACTTTCCTTTCCCAATCACGAAGAATCTCGATCGATCGAGAAGGGAGGGGGGGAGAAAAGGCAGAAAAAGAGAGAGAAAAAAAGGCGGCTGATTTTACAGACGAGCTACCAAGGGCAACGACGGCCGCCTTTCCCTTGTCCAAGGGAGTTTAATAGAGGGTGAAACGTCCTCGAACTTGGACGCCGCTTCCTCCTCTGCGCCTCCCTCGTCCCCATCAGCGGCGGTCATCGCCAATCTCGGATGTGGATTGCAGTCACGACGGATTCCGAAAGGGGAATCGCGCAATCTTCTCTCCCGTGTTCCTCCAACGACGAACTCCCGCCACACGATCTCCCCTAATCAACCGCTTTTTTCGTTCCATTCCCCCTCCCTTATTTTCCTTCTTGCTCTCCCGATTTTGGAGAATTTATCACTTAAGTCTAAGTTTTGGTTAACAGTTAATCGCAATAAAAAGCGAATTTTATATTAGAAAAATTAATTCTGAGAATTCTGAGATTTAAGAATTATAAATAATTAATAATAAATATCGTTAAACGTATGTATCTATTAATTATTAATTTAATTCTGCCGATAACAAACTATTTCACGCGCATATATATTCGCGTCACCCATAAATCAACGCCAGAGATAGAGGAGCGGGCAAGTTGGTTCGAAAGTGTATCAATGCGCGCGGTAAAAATGGCGGCCCGCCTCTCTTCTTTGTCGAGAGACGACAGCAGTTCATATAAAGTTGCGCGAGAGGGCACAACACATCGGTTGGAAACGTAACAACAACTCGTTCCGCGAACGAGCCCGGGGAGTTAGAAATTGACAGGCGGCCTCCTCCTCTCTCTAGATTTTAATCGACGCCCCACACCTCATTGATATGCGCAATTTCGACTGCCACCCACACGCGCGCCAACCCGCCGCGCAATTATCCACACGTACGTCGCGTGGACGTGTGTGGGGGGAGGGAGGGAGAGCGCGCCGATTTACATACTAAGTGTGGCGTTGCGTGCCGGCGGAGAATCCAACTCGGATGTATCGACGCGATCGTCGATGCAATGCAGATGCGACAACGAGCCGAGAGGGGCTCTCTTGTTACGAGGAAGGTTAGATCGAGAGGCATGTTCGAGAGTTCGCGACACGGCCTTTCGCGGGTAAGAAAGGGTAGGAAGAAGAGAGAATAAGGATTGCGTGGGCTCGCGATCGATCGTTGGAATCGGGGTTCGAGATAAGGAAGGGTATTCGATTCGATCGAGCAGAATTTAAAATTTTTAAATTTTCTAGCTGGAATTTAAATACTCTTTCTTCTTCTTCTTTTTTGGACGACGGTAATGGAATTGGAAAAAGGTATTATTTCCATATATCTCGAAAAAAGTGATGGTTAGTAGGTATTTATTATTTAGCGATAATTGCAATTGCAAGGAGAAGAAGAAACTTAACTCACAGAATATGCACAGAATAACGACGAATGTAGCTTTATCAAAAAATTTAATCAAATATTCTTTCTTCCTTCCCTCGAGAGCGAATCCACCATTCCATATTTCATTCGCATAACTGCGAGAGTAGTGTGCAGTTTCGTCGCAGAATCAGCCGCCGAATATTCGTCGTCGTCGGGCGCTATCCTCTTCGCGTCTCACGAAAACGTACGTACGCAAATTTAGAAAGGCGAAACACGGTCGAAACAGGATCGAGAAGCGAACGAGTATATCGTGTGCACGATACGTATAAACGCGGAGGGGTGGAAATAGAGGAAAAGAGAGGATATCGTCGAATATCTCCTCTGGTAGAGGAGGTAATAACGACGCGAAAAGGGGGGCAGAGATGAGCGCGTAATACTAGACACCGGGGCCACTCGAGCGACTCATTAGGGGCTTTGCATATGGTGGCGTCAACCTCGAAAGGTTAACCAATATTGGCAGAACGCGCGTAATTACGTCCTCCGGCCTCGTATAGAGCCGTGTATATAGCCTGCCGATAGTTACGCCCGGTCCCGGATGTGCAAACGTTTCCTACCTACCAACCAACCTACCAACCGACCGACCGACCAACCCGCCAGCCCAACCAACCTACCTTGTGCTTGCACCACGCAACCTACCGCCGCGTCTGCTCCGCAAGCGCTGCTGTATCCGACTGACCCGCCCCCTATCCGTGTAACTATGTACACGACTGGTGCGCTACGCGACGACGACTACTTCGCCACCTCTTATCTAATCCGAATCTCGCTTCGTCCTTGTTTCTTCTTTCCTTCGTATTATTTCTTACGAGTTGGAAGAAAGTTTAAGTGCAAGTAGTCCGTTACTACTACTTGGAATAGTTGGTTACATGTGTCGTATTAACGATGGGAAGAGAGAAAGAGAGAGAGAGATTAGTTAGAAAATGTACGCGTTTATTCGTTACGTTCGTTTTCAACTGAAAAGGGGCGGGGTTTAATCTCCTTTGGACTCGGTGAGGCGAGTAATTTCGAACCAATCATCGTTCTTCGAGTGCTCTTCGTTTTTTGCTACCTGTCATTTTCTACGCGACGTTGCTCGCGAACGTAGAAGAAAAGCTTATATATGGAATAAAGAAAAAGTGTAATATAGATTCTTAACGGTTAAACTCGACGTGTATCGTGACTAAAAATGAACTTGCAAATTTATTCTACGTCTAAAAATATTCGATTTATACGAATATCGAAATCTATTATATACATAACACAG